AGATGAGATATTTTCCCACAGTAAAAAGTACCCTAATGTTGACCCGGATAACCAGATATCATCATACTACATCAAAATCTGTCCAGTGGTTTTCTCGTGATACGTTCTCAGACAGACATACAAAAATTCTAAAAACTATAGAATCGGCCTCAGTATCAAATTTTCAAAAAAATGTTTGTGTATAATGTACAAATTCGGCTCAGTTACAATTTTATTACGGTAAAAATGGCAATTAGTGGTGAAACTTAAAAAAATATGTTTTGCCCAAATTACAATTTTTCAATCAATTCAATTAAAAGAAACGGGCGGAGTCACTACAAAACGCTAGTAAGAAAATAAATTTATTTGTATATCACAACATATCAATAAAAGCTATATGAATGGTGGTAATAAATAAAACGGTTCACGAATCATTTATCACTATTAAAGTATAAGCTAAATATCGAGTGGTTGCCAAAGTAATTATTTGTCTTTGCTTCTCTGTAGTTATATTGTATAGTTTCAAATAAATATCAATATTTATAAGGTCATGGCATTTTAAAACAGTCTTCTCGTTGTAAAATTTTTATATTTTTAATTAGTGTGTCACACCATAATCATACTGGACCCCCCCCCCTCCCCACCCTAACCCCCAAAGTGTTTTCACGTTGTCGTGGGGGGAGGGGGGGGCTCATTACGTCCGGCAGTTCAGCCGAGTGCGAAGCCAAGAAACGCACCAGCAGGCGGCGCCCACTTCAGTTGGCGGTGTACCATGCGGGTTGCTCCTGGTACTTCTCTGATAGCAGAGTGGACTGTTGGAGCAACCCCATGGTTGTTGTGGTCTGCTTCGGTAGACCTGCCTTCGGCGTCGTGGTTGAGTGCGTAAACGATACTGCGACGCCCCATTAAGACGGGGGTAGTTTTTTTGGGTTTTAGTGGGTAGTACTGGCTTTTCTAGCTGGTGAGTCACATATAATGACTCTATGTATACAAGTGGTATGCGCTCCAACATTGAAAAAAGTTTTCGAAGTCGGTTCCAGCCTACAATATTTTAAGATATGAATATCTAATAGGTAAATATGTATTTTACGTATCGAAATATATTAGATTTGCTTTGCATCGGCTGGCATCGACTTCGAAAATATCTGATTAGGTATCTCTTCTAAATGAAAACCGCCGTTTAGTTATTTTTTACATTTTTGTGCCTGGAAGCCGATTTTTTTTTTTTTTAATTGGAAGTAATAAATAATAAGTCTCCACTTTCAAAATTATATTTGACTGAACCTAATAATAATTTCGAATCTATTTCATCCAGTAGCAGGCACAGGTGTGTATAACGACCGCACTCTACATTACCTCTTTTGTTTTAATTGACTGTGGAATTCTGAAGGCATCTCAATATAGAACAATGAATTTCAATGAAAATACGGTTATTCCCCTTTGCTTAAACACCTATTTTATAATTTCAACTAATGGTCCGTTCAGAAAATTAGATGGGGCTAATTTTTAAAAACTTTAATAGTTTTGGACTTTAAGGAGGTCTATCTGTAAAAAGTGTTTCCAAAGCTTTTTTATTGTTAACACTAAAACTCGTCAATAATATAAGAAAAGAAAATCGGTTGACAAACAGAAGAAAAAAGGTACTGGACTGTTTTATTTTTGCCTATTTATATATAGATTTTGCTGACGTTTCGAATGAATCATGATCACAGGAAAGACTATCTCTATATAATTTATGTATAATATTTTAACTATAATTAGAGACAGACCTTGTCATATTTACCTATTAGATAATATCTTAAAGCATTATCGGCTGGCACTGATATACCATATAAACGACTGAACCGATTTTGATGAAATCTTTACTAACCCTAAGTTGAAATAAATGTAAGCAAACAAAAAAAGAATTATCACGATCTAATAACTAGTTTGGGAGAAATTCGTGGACAAACATACATACAAACACACATAAGTCCATATATACATCTAACGTACATACATACACCTATATATTTTTGTATATTTGTATGGAAACCCTAATTAGATTAATAAAATAAAATATGTGAATATTTTGCAGTTCCAATAATATTTATAATAAATATCGAACTGATAACCTCTTTTTTTTAAAGTTGTTAAAAATAAATCTCTAACAATCTTACATCTCTTGATCCCCTAACTCATATATCCAAATAAATTATATTATATAGCACTAGAAACATAAAAGAAAGAAAAAAAAAGTTAAAGAACGAATTACATATTGTAACAATTTATTATTTTCGAAATCAGCAATCTCTGGCCTCATTACAACCGACCTACAATCATATTGTCATTATTTACAATTGTGTGAAATCACCAATATTTCGAAGTGAAAAAGAAAATAGCAAAGGCCGTACAAACATAAGATATAAATCAGTGAGTGTAATTTCGTCGGCAACAACCGATAGAAACTTTGCAAACGAACCACGTTGATTTAATGTTGTGGAACTAAAAAATTGCGAGGACATTTGAAGTTAGCTGCTCTTTGTAAATGCGATCATCATAAAGTATCAAGTTTGTGGAAAACTTTGGATACCATTTTATCTAAAAGACTAGCTTCTAATGGAGGATTTGGTGTAGTATATTTTTAACTTGGTTTTTTGTGACCAAATAAATTTCAAAGTACATAGTAACTATTTAATCAAATTAGTATTCGTGTAGTGTTTGAATACTAATTATGTAACACAAAATGATGTAAGTAAACAGCTTTATAGAAATTACATTAAATAATCTCTATGTAATTCTTTCTTGAAATTACGCGAATATTCAACATTTTTTTATAAAAATATCATTTTAGGACTTTTTAGCGGATTTATTTTAGTTTCGAATGCTTTACAGCAATCATGGTCACGGGAAAAACTAAAAGTTTTAGACGTCTCAAAGGTATATTATATATTATTCTTATTTTTATATTATTTTAACCGACTTCCAAAAAGGAGGAGGTTCTCAGTTCGTCGGAATCTTTTTTTTATGTATGTTCACCGATTACTAAAAGAAGCCTGAACCGAGTTGGATTTTTTTTGGGCACCGACTTCGAAATATTTGATTAGGTATCTATTCTAAATGAAAACCTCCGTTTAGTTATTTTTACATTTTAGTGCCTGGAAGTCGATTTTTATTTTTTGTTAAAAAGTTTTTATTAGTTATTTTTATACCTATCATAAATACTACAATTTTAAGTAATTTATTTTCAAATAAGCTTTAATGAAAGTAGCTAAAACGAGTACTTAGTTAACAGCATAAGTAAAACATTAAGTGCACCAAATTCTTCTTTAAAACCACATCCTATACTCTAATTTTCCAACACTACGAGTATATTGGCTATATAGCCATGTGTATATTTTACTAACTCTATAGTCTCTATATTTATCTTAGAGCTAAACTATAAAATCTAACAGAGATGTAACACGAACTATAATTCATTTTCATTCACTCTATTATACACGCTTATGGATCCCATTTTTTACTTTTTGTAACAAAATAAACAAGCTGTGTTCTCAACTGGAACGACTCAGAGCGATATTTTTGAATGCTTCACAGTTTTGAGATGAATGTCATTTTAACTGACTACGAATGTTTTTATTTAGTTTTCAACTAAAATTTATGGTGTTTTTTGAAACATCACTGATCAAAATTACCATAGAGCGATAGAGTGAGGAATAGAGCTAGATATATTTTCGATTTATGCCATTTGAATAAATAGTTTAGTTTTAGAGGGGCTTTATTGGTTTACAAAATTTTGTTACGTAAATGTGAATGTAGAGCATATTTATATCAGAATTGCATAATACTTTGTCGGATTCAGGTAAATTATGATATTTTAAATAAAACTATCTTTCAGATTTTCTCTAATCTTTTGCTTGTTGTTCTCGAAGTTTTGAATACTTTATAGTAAACACAGTCATGGATACTAGGCTTTTGAAGTCTTACAAAAGTCGTAGTTATTACAGATAGTGTCCACTCATAAAAGTTATATAATAACTAGCATTGCCCGCGGCACTGCCCGCGTTCAGATGACCAAAAACTAAATTCTTAGGTTTTACATATTAGTATACTTTTTCTTAGAAATGAGATATTTTTCCGCGGTAAAAAGTATCCTATATGATGTTGTTGTTGTTGATTTCATCAAAATCCCTCCAGTAGTTTTTCTGTGATGCGGTAACAGAAATACAGACAGACATACAAAAATTCTAAAAACTATAGATTCGGCCTCTGTATCGATAATAATGACTATTTCAATGAGATTATCCAAAAAATATTTAATGTACAGATTCGAGTCAGTTAAAACTTTATTATATCTATAGGCAGATTTGGAAGAAAAAAAAATGGCACCTAAGCAAATTTCAGACTAAATACATTTTTTTTATTAATTGTTATAAGATGTAGGGTACATAGTTAGATTAAATTATAAGTTTTTTGTATTGTTTTAAGTTAACGTTAAAGCAATTAATCTTAAAATCTAATCTTAAAATCTGTCTTGTGTATGTGAAAAGAATTAAACTTATAATTTATATTGCAAGTATTTAATTTTCATTCGTAAAACCAAAACTTTTAATAATATCATATTTTTAACCTATTTGCCATATGTGACACTCAAATATGTAAGAGTTCTATATATATTAAGTCTATTTGCTAGTGTATATTTTTATTGTTATATTTGGTTGTACCACTTTTTGAAAATAAAGAAATAAAAAACAAAACGTGTGTGTGTACTTATGTACTTGTACACACGTAAGAAGTTATACTCCTTTGGCGTAACATAACAAAAATAGCTAAAGATTTCATCCCGTATGTCACAACTCTATGTTTGCAAAAGGAATGCAGCTAACTTCATCATGTCGCTTTTTGGCTGTCGTCGGTGTGCGCGGCATCGTAAAAATTTTACTCTCATAATATTTTCCAAGCATGCCAAAAAAGTATAACTTCAAAATATTTTATTTTAAAGAATTAAGTTTATTTTGCGTTTTTACAGTTTTTCAGTACTAACCGTTTTTGTGTCCATAGTAGCCTGTACCAGAGGACGAGCCGCTGCCAGTCGAGCCTTGCTGGGGCCTGCCCTCGTCCTCCTCTAGCGGCAGAGATGGTTCCATGTTTGGCACTAACACATCACTACACCACACGACACTATTTATCTGAAACAATAATAGTTTTTTTATTATAATCTAGTTTCGCTACATTCAAAGATATAAATAAATATAAATATGTTAGGACATTAACACACAGCACCATCTAGTCCCATGGTAAGCTACGATGCTTGTGCTATGAATACCAGATACTTTAAATACATACATACTATAAATACAAACACCCATGACTGTAGTACAAACATTCTTGCTCATCACACGAATGAATGCCCCAAACAGGACTCGAACCTGCGACCGTTGGCACAACAAATATGGCCACTATTAACAGAGCTAAAGGTGTCGTCAAATATAATTGTTTTATTCCGCTTGATAAATAAATGATTAAACAAAATGAGTTTCAATATATTTTACTGTCGAAGAGAATATTTTACACAGGCATCTCTTAAAACATCAAAGAGCTTTTAATTGAACTTTTTTTTATTATTATACTGCTATTTTTTGCTATTTTTTTTAAATTATTTAAATTTAGCTTTAGTTTCATTTTATAACTTCATTTTTAATACTATATATAACGCGAGTGAGTTTGTTTTTGGCAGAAATAAGGTAAGTTAAAAAATGAATATTCATTTATTTTATTCTTTTTTTGTTTTATTTTTTATTATTCTTCACCAAGAGTCCAAAGAATAAAACCTAGTCTCATTTTTATACTGTCAGGTATGTATGTGTGTACTATATCGTGCTGTCAAGATAACAAATTAAGATAATTTTATTTTCTCATTTTATATTCCTATGTGAAACAACTATTTTAAAGAGCAAATGTTCTAGAACGTCAGCTCTTTTCAGTTGGTACCTACCTCACGAAGTCACTTCACTAATTTTATTTAAAACTAGCGACTGACCCTCGTTTCGTTCCGGTTCGTCCCTAGCTTGCTTCGCAATACATCCCCATTTTCACCCTCTTAAGGGATGATTTCTGAGATAAAAAGTATCCTATGTCCTTCCCAGGGTCTCAAACTATCTTCTTACCAAATTTCATCTAAATCGGTTCAGTAGATCCAGAGATTACCCGCTACAACATCACAAACTCACAAATTTTACCTTTTTATAATGTTAGTATAGATAAGTCGACAGATTCAAAATTACTTACTAAAGAAGAAAATCATTAGTAGATACGTTTAATATATAAATATCTCGTGTCACGGTGTTTGTGGTGGCACTCCTACGAAACGGCTCGACTTTTTTTTGTATATAGTAGGTATGAGAATAAGTTGTAAAGGATTTTTCACCCTCATACCCCCACCCCCTATTTTTAATCGCAATTTTAGAATTTTTGTATGAACAATATCATATAAATCGAATCGAGCGAAACGAGGGTGAGTCGTTGTATAACATAAAGCCAAAGAGTTTTTTTGAAGATAGAACGCGGGCGTATATGTATACCAGCTTTTTCTCTAGAAATCCATCAATCCATTACTAAATTGCTGTCTCAAATAATAACAAACAAGAAAACACATTTTCTATACAAATATGCACTTTACACGCGTAAAAGCTTTATAGTACAAATATCTCAAGTCCATTAGAAAGAGTACGTACAATAATGAGAAAGAATTTCTTTAGCGAAATAATGAATATAAATCGTTTTAGAGGGTTTGAATGTAAACCAATTTTAGAAATTGTGCGTTCTTTGTTGTACCTGTCTAAAACGAACTAGACTTTCTAAGGTCTATATAATTAGTTTTTGGGCTGTAACATAAACGTTGTTAAAGGCAATGGTAGCTCAGTGGTAAAGAGCTCACTTGGAAAACCATGTGATGTGGGTTCAAATCTCAGGTGTCGCACCTCTGTCATGTGCGAATCATTTTTAACATGATTACTACTAACGTTGAAGGAAATCATGAAAAAACCTATATGTCTGAGAGAACCTAACTAATTTTGAACATTTACAATAAACTAACCTTCAATATTTATATGCAAAACTAGTGATGCCATCTATCTTTTGCCTAGTACTAAATTGAGACACATACATAGCCCTAAATTGCTTTTGTTATAACTTTAATACCTCCACGACCGCGGACACGCCGGCGTTGAAGTTAACAACAGATTTCTTAGAAATTTAATTAATTTCTTAGAAAACCTGGAGGTGTTAATAAATCATAGATTGTTTAAATCGACTTGCTACCACCTTTTTTTTTTTTTTTTAACGTTGGGAAATGCATTTACGCACGACGTGTGGGACTCACCGGTGTAATACAGCCAGTACTACCCACTAAAACCCAACAAAACCTTCCCCCGTCTTAATGGGGCGTCGCAGGATCGCTTACGCATTCAACTACGACGCCCCGACGGCAGGTCTGCCGAAGCAGACCACAACAACCACGGGGTTGCTCCACAGTCCACTCTGCTATCAGAGAAGTACCAGGAGCAACCCGTATGGTACACCGCCCTCCGAAGAGGGCCACCTCCCACCGCCCACCGAAGTGGGCAACCTCCCTGTGCGTTTCTTGGCTTCGCGCCCGGTTGGGTTGCCGGGCACTACTGAGCCCCCCCACCACGACAAGGTGAACGCACGTTGGGGGGGGACTTGCTACCACCTTCATATATCAGTGTTAGAACATTTTTTTTTATTTTTAGACTGACAAATAACATATAGACTTAAACGCATACATACAACATACAGTTTTATAAAAATTTTGATTTTTAGACCTACAAGTCCCTCAGAATTCTGACACCATTTTTTAAAAAAATTGTTAGTATTTTGGAATTCAGATATTTTGTGTGACCTTCCGTTATAACCACAAGCTGTAACCACACTTCGCGCTAATTTATTATTAAAAATGTATCTTGTAAAAGATAAAAAAATCTAAAATAGAATATAGAAAGTTTTAAGGAACCCATTTTTTGTATTTATTTGCTCTGTGTGTTGTGTCTTCAATATTTAAATTATAATCCCTTCCTTGAGTAATATTTGTAATAATCTATCAATTATTATATAAAAAAAGGAAATCAAAAATCCAAAAAAAAAGTATAAATAAAATAAAAATCTAAAAAATACCTGTTAAGTCTTTTCTAGAAAAAAAATGATTTTAGATATAAACTTGACGTCACTAGAATCAAAATAAACCAATAACGCTTTGATCACTAGAAAAAAACATTCATTTAAAAAAAATAATGTCAAAAAACTCGAGTGCGTATATCGAATCGTTTTAAATTTGCAATCCAATATGAACCGCTGGTTCCAACGCCGCGAGTAATAAACTGGGCACGCTGTGTGGTGCGCCACTATTTTTAAAGATGTTCAAAAATAGTACAGGAGACCGCTGCTTTTATATCATGCTTGGGTTTCGCAAAAAAAATTTTTTAATAATATAACGTGCTAATTCATAAATAATACATTAAAGTTAAATTATAATTATACGAAATTAAGTATTAAATATTCTTATGAGTCTTGATATAGTAAAATATTTGAAACTAGCGTTTTACCGCGGCTCTGTTCATGTAATTGAATTACGTATATCTTTATAAATTAATTTATAACTTCCTTCAATAAATAAGCTATTGAACGCAAAATAGTAATTTCAAATTATACCAGTACGTACATCCAGAGATTAGCGCGATCAAACTCATAAACAAACAAACAAACTCTTTAGTGGCTTTATATAATAGTATAGATGATTAGTAGATCTCTGCCTATAAAATGTATAAAATGTGTAAAATGAGAAATAAATGAAATTTAAACGACAGGAAAATATTCTTCAGAATTTTATAGCACAGTTTTCTTCAGTATTAATTAGTTTTTTTTTATATTTTATCTAATTGAACGCTTTGTCAGTCAACTCTACATTGAATAATGTGCAATCAAAATAACTACGGTAGAAGATAATCAATGAAAGATTTTAAGATATTTTATGTGATAAATAAAATATGTGATAAATAAATATGTTTTTTTTAATTTCGTTAGTATTTTCAAATTCAGATATTTATGTGATAAATAAAATATGGTAGGTTCGGTATACGTACCTTATATTATATAAGCTATGTATGATTTTAGATTTCCAGTAAACTTGCAAAAAAGATATTTTAAAAATCGTAACCTTACGTCTACAAAACTAAAAGCTTTCATTATCAATACTCTCTTGATGGACAAAAATATTTAGCAGTTTCATTTTTAATACATTTTTTAGGATAAGTAGGTAAAACATTTGATATAATTTATGACACTTCATATGCATAAAATGAAATAAGCAAAAGTAATAATTAAAGACACGCAAGGTCTTATATTACCTAACTATAATAATTTTACGACCGTTAATATACATAATAATGAATTTTATTTTTACTCGACCAACCACAAGAAGGTTATTTCAACATAAAATAATATTATATGCATTAGGCATATTTCTTTTCTTTATTTTATGCTTCTACACTAATAAATTTCTCTTATGCATTTTCCCGGCTTAAATTAAAAAAGTATGCCATTTTCACAGATAAATTATAACAGGGAAAAGAGCATTTCGCACTAAACTAAACATTTTTTAAAGATCAATAAAAACTGCATTAATTATTTATAGTTATTTTACTTTTACTTATGTAATGCACTTCTTCGAACTAAGGAAGCTAAAATCATATTTTTTAACTGTTATCCATTCGTCTATTCGTTTTTAATTTATATATTTTTTAACACCCAAAATTTTACTGTTTGTATTTAAATATAAGAATATAAATGTCAGCTCTTGGACTTCTTCTAATCTGGCAAGATTCCCGCGACAGTTTTGACATATCGCGTAAAAAAAGTTTCCATTTCAATTTTTAAACGCATGTACCTCATCTTCATATATTATTAGAGGCGATTTAAAAAATTCTAAGCATCGCATTTTGTTTAGACTAATTTATTACACCATTATTTAAAAAAACATGGAAGTAATAGAATATTTGAACTGAATTCTTCATAAACAACTTTTGACTCTATACCTGTCACAGTTAATGTTTTATATATTTTTTTATTCTGTACTTTTCAATCTATTATGTCTATAATATATTTCCTCACGCCTTGTTAAAAAACAATTTTTGTTATTTATTACATGTAAAAACACCCCATAAATCAAAGAAGCAAACATAATGATTTATTGTATCTTCCAATTTTTTTATAAATCAAATATTATTTTTAAATATATTATTTTATAGATTATTTTTTTAATATATCTTATGAATCTAAGTAGCATAATTAAAATAATTTCTCTATTTTAGTATAATTCTTAACTAAAAATTTACTTTTGTGTACATAAGACTAAGTCTAGCGTAGCATCTAGATTAAGCGTTGTCAGTCGATTAGTAAGTGTTAGAGTGAAACTATCTTCTCGGATTTTTTCGTGAAAGTCTCTCCCGTGACCATGGTGAAAAGCATTCAAAATGTCTATAACAGATATCTATAGTCTATAGTTATATAATATTATAAAGAGGTAAAGTTTGTGAGTTTGTGAATTGTGAGTTTGTGACGTTGTAAGGGGTAATCTCTGGATCTACTAAACCGATTCAGATGAAATTTGGTAAGAAGATAGTTTGAGACCCTAAGAAGGATATAGGATACTTTTTATCGTGGAAATCATCCCTTAAGGGGGTAAAAATGAGGATGAAAGTTTGTATTGGGAAGCAAGCTAGGAACGAACCCGAACGAAGCGAGGGTGAGTTGCTAGTATTAAATTAAACCGTGGCAAAATGATAGTTCCATTTAAAATGTCAAACATTCATCTAAATCTAAAAAAATATGACTGTTAGAATCATATTAAGATTTAATCATAAGATATTAACATAACGTACTGCTTTTTCATGTTATTTAATTATAACACAACAAACCCTGAAACAATGTTTAAAAAGCTATAAGATATTTATATTTTGCACCATTAGTGTGCAACCACCCTTATTCCCAGTATGCAAATACAAACTCTACCACTATTTACAGTTAAGCGAGCAAAGTGCCATATTATTATTTCAGTTGGCTTTATTCTTCATCACTCCGTACGCTTGGCTTTATTCAAGAAGCAGACGTTCCATACATATATTTATATAATATGTCTGTATGTATGTTTGCTTTACGTTTACTCATCTACAAGAAATTCGCTTCGCTTCGCTTTGGCCCTCATAAACGTCGACCATCAAATTTACTATCCATCGACCTTATCCTTTTCCTAGATATAAATTAGTTTTTAATACTTTCTTAGATTTACACGAATATTTGACATTTTAAATAAAACTATCTTTTCGGATTTTTTCGCGAATTTATTTTTATTTTTGGTTCCCGACGTTTCGAATGCTTTAGAGCAATCATTGTCATGGGAGAGACTAAGGTGTCACATGTCTCAAAGGCATTATATAGTTGTTACAGACAGCCTACTCACCAATTAACAAAAAATGAATTCAAAAAATTGTAAAATGGCACCAAAGTACCTTACAATATTTGTTAATTTGAATTTTAAAACTTTTCTATAACTTTAATTAGTTTAATATTTGAATATACAATATTAAAAGTTTTCTATAAAAAAATGTAATAATTATAATAATGGCAGCTAAAATTAAATAAATAATATTGTTGCGCAGACACAAGTGAGAGTTAAGGCGCAGAACCGACGGCTTTACGTGCCCTGTGAGACACAGGGGTGAAACACCGCCAACTTCTCAACTCCGGGCTGTTACTGAGGCTTACTAAACATAAAGACTCAATAACTAAACTTGGCCCGACCCGGGACTCGAACCCAGAACGTCCAGATGATCAGCCGTACATGCTAGTTACACCACAAAGGCAGTTCAAAATTAAACTGTATAAGACTAATGGCTTCCTTCGTTCTTTATTAAGTCTGAAAAATATTATTTGTCATACAAAATAAAGAAAAAGGTTTCCCACTTATCATACTACTATTTTCATAATAATATTTTTTAGAAGATACCAAAGTCATTATAGGAATATGTTGTCAAAATTTCAGACCAAGCGGTCAAGGGATTAAATAATTAGTTAGGTCAAAAAACTTCATATATATTATTAGACGAGTACCTGGTCGACCGAGGTCTCACTCGGTATTTTCTTTGTTGTAAAATTGTGTTTTTTTCGGAAAAGTTATAAAATTGCGTTTTATTTTCAAAAAAGAGGTCTATCTATATAGATAAACTCAAAAGCAAAGCCTTATCTAATTACATAATTTGATCCAAATCGTTAGAGCCGTTCCCGAGATATACGAAATTTTATGTTTAGAATATCTGATTACCCCTCGTATTATAATTGCAAAAGTGTGTGTATGTTTTTTTTCCGTGCGAGTACCTATACCACAGACGTTTAACGTTTTGTACGTGTATTTTTCTGATTTATATAGTTATATATTATTTACTCTTACGCTTGACAATTTGTCTATTAATATTTGGTAGATTTTTAACTGATAGTCTGAAAAGGAGGAGATCTCTTTAAAACGGTGTGTGTATGTTTGTTACTTCTGCACACTGAAACGGCTGGATGGATTTGGACGAAATTTTCTTCTATAAAGAAACAGAGTTTGTTTGTTAGTTTGAACGTAATCTCAAGAACTACTAATACGATTTGAAAAATTCTTTTTACATTAGATAGCCAATTTCTTGAGGAAGGCAGAGATAGGCTATATACTATATCCCCCCCAACGTGCGTTCACCTTGTCGTGGTGGGGGGGCTCAGTAGTAGTACGAAGCTAAGAAACGCACAGGGAGGTTGCCCACTTCGGTGGGCGGTGGGAGGTGGCCCTCTTCGGGGGGCGGTGTACCTTGCGGGTTGCTCCTGGTACTTCTCTGATAGCAGAGTGGACCTTGGAGCAACCCCAAGGTTGTGGTGGTCTGCTTTGGCAGACCTGCCGTCGGGGCGTCGTAGTTGAATGCGTAAGCGATCCTGCGACGCCCCATTAAGACGGGGGAAGGTTTTGTTGGGTTTTAGTGGGTAGTACTGGCTGTATTACGCCGGTGAGTCCCACACGTCGTGCGTAAATGCATTTCCCAACGTTAAAAAAAAATATACTATATATACTATATACCCGAATGAAACGAGGGTACATCGCTAGTATCTACATATATAAAGTAAACAAATAAATCTATAGGAAACATCCAGATAAACAATGGCGTTGTATTTAGAAATTTAATGAGTCAAGCAGAGTTCTTCTAAAGTCATAAAACGGTACTATTTCAAAGCAAACGTTTTCCAGTTAAGACCTTGTCAAAATTCAGCGTAAAACCCAGTGTTGGTTAGAATAACAAACGCAGTACACGTTGTTATAGTAGTATAAAATATGCACTGCAGAGAACAGACGGGCCTATGAATGTAGTTTATGAGAATTTGAGATGTGGAGTTGAGTTTAAAAAATAGTTATTTTTTTTCTTTTATATTGAAAATTAACATTCATAATCTATATTAATTCCATACTAATATTATAAATGCAAAAGTAATTCTGTTTTAAGTTAATCCGCTGAACCGATTTAGATAAAATTTAGTATTGAGATAGTTTCAAACCCTGGGAAGGACATAGGCTAGTTTTTATTCCGAAAATAATCCCTTAAGGAAGTGAAAAGGGGGGTGTAAGTTTGTATGGAGAATCAATCATTTCAAGTATGGGATATAAAACTTCATATTATGCCTAATATTATATTAGTCTATCTTTTCCATACAGCATTCTAAGCGTTAATTATTATCAATGTGAATTTAACTCTGTCTGTTACCTTTTCACGTTAAAAGCGCTGAACAGACTGAAAAAATTTGGCAATTGCATAGGTAGCATCTTGGGGACGAACATAGGCTACCTTTGATCCCCACCTCACTTACCAAGCGAGCGAAGCCGCGGGCAAAGCTAGTTTTATAGTAATTGTTTAATTTATTTATAAAATAAAAAAATAAATTATCTGAAGATCGATCGATGCAGAAGCCGAATCTAGTATTTAGAATTTTTGTCTGTCTGTCTATCTATCTGTCTGGGAACGCATCACGGGAAAACCACGAGCAGATTTTGATGAAATTTGGTATGATGATAGTTGGTTATCCGGATCAACATATAGGATACTTTTTACTGCGAGAAAATATCTCTGAGAAATCTATACTAACCGTTAAAACGTAGGGGCGAACCCGAGTTAAGCGAGGGTGAGTCGATAGTACTAATAAAAAAATGTAACTGAGTCGAATCTGTACTTGAATATATAACGTCGTAAGTAAAACAAGAAAATAAGAAGCATTCACTTATAAAGTATTTGAAACAAGATTTCAGTTGTACATTTCCCGTTCGATAGTTTAAAGACATTTTTAATGAGTTCTGTAACAAACTTTGTCTACTCGACGTATTCGTGTAATGACCTTTTAACACGCATTGTACTTAATTGGACGAAATAAGATAGAGCTTATGTAAATAAAACTAACATTATCCCACGGTTCTATTTTATTTCTCTAAAAGTAAGAAATATGTAAATAATAACCAAAAGTCAACAAATGCAGAGAAACTATTGTTATTTTAAAAATTCTACTGTTTGAAAATATATGTACATATGTATCTACATAATAATAGTAATGTTCTCCTGAGCGATTCCGCCCACGGCGACCAATCTCATTGAGACTAGCCGACTGCGCAGGAGATATTATAGTGCACAAGTGTACACGCAGACACAACGTGTACTCTCTATTCCTGTCACTCTTATATTCCGTCGTTCTCCATCCCTCCAACTATCTCCATACGAAAAAATCACGCCAATCCGTCACTCTGTTTCGATGTGAAAGAAGGACAAACAAACAAACACACTTTCTGTAACTGAAGTTTTAGTCCAAGCTTTAGTGATAGTCTATCTTTGTACATCCAAATCCATCCAGCCATTACAGCGTAAAGGAGCA